AAGATAGAGTGCACAGCCGGATTTCTGCACAGCGGCTTCAAACGTTCATAGCGTTCTGGTCACAGCTTCAAATGACTTGATTCAACTTGGATCTGGAGCGTCTTATTGTCGCCTACAATAGGCAATTTAGATCGCACGATTTCACCAAGTATTGACGATAGAGCGTCAGTTTGAACGAATGGCACTATGGCAGCCACTATAGTCTTAAAACACAAGATAGGAAGAGTTAGGAAGAGTTACGAGTTGGGAATGACTCCCAGCTCCTACAAACCCCAAGAGCCGAGATACAGTGATGTGGAACAGTGTCACACTGTCCCCAACCACGAATGGTCTCGAAACTACCCTTCACTAGGGCCTACACCAACTGAAATGTTACACTACACAAAGTAATGTAACTATCTTCAATCTCTTGAGGTGTACCCTTTTGGCGAGCTTCGCGATCACTTGAATGTTGACACCAGGGGCTCGGGTTCTTCATCACAAACTCATCCTTGAGTTCTTGATGGGTCTGCTGCACACACCTGCGACACGCCGAACGTTCGACAAGCGACAAAATAGAAACCGCGCACGACAAAATAGAAACCACGCGGGACACACAAAACGACCACGTTACACGCGACTAGCGAGAATTCGCTATTGACTTGACACACACACTCGACATCATGACCCATCATTCACACACTATTATAAGCATGAAATATATATTTATTTCATGCACTCATTCCATTCCATGCACACACGCATGCACGCACACGGACAACAAGCCGAGTGCAAACCGTAGGGTTGCACCAACAGGCTCCACCACGTTGACCATCGAGCATGAAGCCTCCTAACCACGAGCATTGCCGCCACAGGAGTCGGCATCCTTCGTCGAAGATGTCTTCGATGCGTGCTTCTCCTTATGCAACTGGTTGTTTTGACAACGACGACCACCATCTCAACTTTTGCGGTTGGCGTCCCGGTCGTCGTCAGACTCGTCTCGGTCGGGGCAGTCATACGAGAGGTGGTCGGGAGCATCGCAGATGTAGCCAGGTGAGGCTCGATGGATTCAATCCATGTGATCAAGTCGTGTCGGCCTTCAAGCAGCTTCGGCACAACGATCTTGTCCGGCGATTTTTTTTTAATAACCATACGCCGGTGCGATGCCTCTGTCTCGACCAGCCGACGCATGAGTCGCCGAAGTCGACCTGACTATACTCCGCTGAGGAGATTGACGTCGACCATCAACGTTTCCATTCAAGCTGCCTTAAGTCGCAGGTGATCGCATCACATGCGCTTGCACTCCGCCAATGCCAACGTCAGCAGCCCGAATCATTCCGCGAATCCTCGTGCTTCCACCGCCAACAACATTGCCGCCATCACCTTCGCTGTGCACGGGTCGGGGAGAGGCGGACGCGCCGTCCGCTTCAGCACGGAGAGGGGGATGCTCACGCGCCCACTGCACATGAGTTCCAAGGAGCAGAATCTCCAAGTCCGCCTCGCTGTACTTGCCAGCCTCATGGCGTGCCCGAACACCATCCAACCGCACCTGCAGAGTATCTCCTAGTCCTGCATCGACTCCTTGGTCATCCATGACGGTCTAGACGGTTGCCAGCCTACAACGACTAAGGTATTTAGCACAAAAATGTCGGCTAATTTGAAGGTTCTAACGCGGGGCTGTCCACGCTCACCACACCATGTGGAGAAAACAATTTTACGGGAGAGCTGTGTTAGAGAATAAGGACGGAATCTATAAGTTCAGGGGCCGAAATATCTCAAAATCGTCAACTACAATTCTGGATAGAAAATTCGTCGTCACAAGAAATGCCGTCGACAAAAAACGCCCTGTTAGAATTCTTTCAAACTCGAATATTTTGTTGCCCTTGACTGTGGCTACATTTCACAATTTGAATCGTATCAAAAGATAGAGTATAACTCGAGTTATGAATTTCGGCGCACTAGAGGGTATGCTGCCATAGAAATTTAACTCAATCACAATTGTCTCAAAAGTTCACAAGAGGATTAGTAAAAAACGCGTTTCAGGTTTAGTTTCCTTACCGATTCAAATTCTTATGGGGAGTACAATTTCCAAGAGCATCCGATTGGCCAAAATTTGCTGTTTCGCAATTGGTCGAAATTCGCGCACATTGCGAATTTCAGAGACAGGTAATTTTGGTCGACCACAATTGCTCTTCTCGACGATGCGTTTTTCGAGCATAATTCTGTCGACCAGCGTTCCGTCAAAACGCCGATTTCTGCAATTTCGTCGACCCGCGAGGCTCGATTTCGACATCGATTTCCTCCCATCGACGAGCAGAAACAACACTTCAACTTTGACGAGAATCGACTCGTGGCACAGAGATCAGAGTCCCAGAGTCTGTCGCACACTGATAAAAGTCCCCGAAGTCGCCGATGAACACGAAACGAACACCGTTGTGCTCCGAAAGCATGGCCGACTTTGCCCAAGTGAGGGCGGGGCCTTTTCTCCTCGATAGTAACAACTTCCTGGGAGGTGGAGCAGGAGCTCCTCCTTTTCAACCGCTGCTTGCTGCCGAACGGGAGAACACCTGCAGGTAAGCAAAAATCGGCAAAGCATCTTAAGCGGGCGACCATGGTGGACTTGATCGCTGTGGCGGAGGACGGGACTAAATCGTTGAACGATTCAAAAGCGCTGGAAAGAGAGTTTGGCGGATCGGCAGGGGCGTGGCTGGCCAAGAAAACTTTTGATGCGGCCCCGGACGACTGGAAGCAGCTCCTCCTTGCACCGATTACAGAGCGCGCGGTGCTGGCGGCATCAAAATATGTGCTGAAGGCAGGCACCAACCATGGCGTATGGAGAATCGAGTCCGTGGAAGGGGAAACCTTTGTCTTCCGAGCAATCGGCTGTTTTCGGGGGGTCTTGGAGGGCGCTGAGGAGAAGCTCCGTGTGTTCCAGCCTCGTGAGGTGGTGCACGCGGTGGTCAGGGGGGATCAGTTTTTCGGCCTGGTCGGAGCCCCCAGAGCGAAATCACTGTGCTCGCCAATCTAGGCGGGGGACGGTCCGGCGCAGGTCAAACAACTCAAAGAGGGTTTCAAGTGGAATGATGGCAAGCCGAAGCAGCAGTCGCTTAGGAGGATCTGCTAGGACACCAAATTGGCTGGTCGAGGGTGATCGGGGGATTCGGAGGTCCTCCTGAACCGTGCGCGGGATGTGATGCTTCGGATCCACATCCGGAACCTTCAAGTGGGGGAGCGCCTGCACTTCTTGGGGGCGGGGGTTGCATGCTTGCACAGTGGGGAAAAAGAGACGCCGGAACACGGGCTTTTCAGCTGCCCACGCATCCAGCCGGTGGTTCGGGCGCTCCTGAAGGCACTTCGCATGCTCAATCCGAGGCGGAAAATCGAGTCATTGGGGGACCTGCTTTTCCAACGCGAGGGGACAGCTTCGGGTTTTCCTGAGGCTATACTCACGTCCATCGCTCTTCATCGCATCTGGGTGGAAAGGTGTGATGCGGCATTTGAGAGAAGCACTTTCCGGGGAAGGAGGGCTCTACGGAGGATTGTGGCAGCCTGTCAGCTGCATGTGCATATCTTCAAGCGCGCCAAGGCAGCATCGCGGAGGTTTGGTACTACTCATCCGGGGTTGGATAATGATGAGCGCTGCACCCTGGACAGGATACTTGCCATCACGACGAAGCCGACCACGTGGACGAAAGGCTTCATGCCTACCTGGTCGAACCCGAGAGTGGCCTTCCGACCTCCTTAGCTGTCCAGGATGGGTACAGCGGGTTCATGCCCCCTAGGCCCATCAGCCACAGTCATGACTGTTGATGTATTGTGCACTTATAATGTATCTTTCATCCCATCCCCCCTCCTCTCCCTCCCCCCCACCCTCCAATTGAAGAAAGTCCAAACAAATGTCATAGAGAGCTTCACCACACAGACGAACGGAATCCACCCAAGAACCAACAACATTCCAACAATAACCAACCGAGGCTGGCGGGACGAGCTTAGGCTAGGGCCTCGCTCGACCAGGAAATGGCTCGGAACTGTGGCCGAAGGTACGACGGCGAGCCTGGTGTGGTTTGGGGCCGAAACAGGGAGAACCAGCTCATCCAACATGTTCGGGATGTGTTGAAAGTGAACAAGGAGAACGCACTACAGTTGAAAATATATTATGTAATAAATTTATTATGAAATTATGTGGAGATAATTATTTTACTGGTTGGAGATATTTGAGACTTCATTAAAATCAAGGTCTGTTGCCAAAACAACATTCGAATTCATAAAAAAAATTGGTGGATATATAGTGCAAGAGGGAGCTGCAGATTTACAATTGCAGTATCATACGAACACACACACACACACACACACACACACACACGCACGCACGCACGCACGCACGCACGCAGCACGCACGCACGCACGCTCGCACGCACCACGCTCGCTCGCTCACACGCACGCACGCTCGCACGCACCACGCTCGCTCGCTCGCTTGCACGCACGCACGCACGCTCGCTCGCTCGCTTGCACGCACGCACGCTCGCTCGCTCGCACGCACGCTCGCTCGCTCGCACGCACGCTCGCTCGCTCGCACGCACGCACGCACGCACGGACGCACGCACGCACGCGCGCCCCCATGCCCTACGCGCGCTCCCACGCCCACGCGCCCGCACGCGCACGCCCACACGCGCGCACCCGCAGCTGTATATGTCGAGAAGGTGATTTTGATAGAGGGTCTGGATTACAAATGGATTTACTATGAGATCAAATATTAGCTCCACTAATAAGAATTTGAGATTTTCTGGAGCATTAAATTTCTTTCTTTTATGACCCAACGTCTCAACCTAAGCAAAGTGTTTAAGCAGGTAAGATCCTTCAAATATCTCCATGAAGTCTTGAAGTCTAGTGTCTCACCATGCATATGGCAGTCCAAACTCAAAGCAAGCCTCTCAAAGGGAAATATAACACTCATAAAAAAGGAATAGGGCAAAAAACCACATCGGCTATGTACATGTGCAGCTTGAAAACTCCAGCTCCTCTCAGTTGCGGTAACCAGCCATGCTCCCACTCGCCTCTCCACTCGTCCCCTCTCCAGCACTCGAGCTCTCATTCCCCTCCAAGCTGCCTGTCGTATCCCTCACAGTCATCACTGGTGTCACACTCACCGCTGACGCCCCATCTGCCAAACTCTCCCACTTCTCCTTCCCGACTCCTCCCACCCCCCCTGCACCCATTTCCACTCCTACGAACTCACTCCCTTCCAGTCCGCTCTCCCCCTCCCGCTTCACAACCTCCTCGTGCAGCTGCTTCAGCTGTGAGAGAACTTTGGCCATGGAGGGGCGCGAGGCAGCGGGCATGGCAGTGCATTCCAACGCCAGGGATGCAAGGCTCTGCATGACGTCAGCATGCGCCATGCTGACGTCGTCAGTAGACGCAGCAGGGGAAGGCATGCGCGGGTCTATGATGGAGCTGACGTCACTGCTAGAGAGCTCTGCTGTCGCCTGTACGTGGGAAGATGGGGTAGGAGGAAAACGATTAAAAGGGGACGGACATGTACGAGGGGACAGAAAGGATGGGTGGGATGGAGGAGAGACAAGTAGCAGCAACTTCCTAAATGGAGCTCTTGACAGGAGGGTTTTAAGGAGAAATAGAAGTACTGGAGCCATGAGTGCTTGGGCATTGAGAGACAGGCGAACGATGCAAACAAAAACAGAGGTAGTACGGGGATGAGGAAAGTGTGACTCACCCATTCCCGGATGTGCGACTGCGAGCCATCGACTGAGAGGATGGGGTCCCTGCCTGTCAGCAGCTCCAGCACCAGCACTCCGAAACTGAAGTGAGGGGAGAGGGTGGTTGATGTGGTTGCGAAGAGAGGAGTGGATACAACGGACCAGCCTCTAGCTGAGCAAGATGGGCTCCCTGCCTGCCAGCAGCTTAAGCACCAGCACTCCGAAACTGGAGGACAGATGGGAGGAGACGGACCTGGTTAGCTTGCACCGGAAAAGATCAGAGGTTTCAGCAGCAGCTGATCCAATCTTCTGGGAGTGATCTTTGTGGGAAATAGAAGGCCTGGATTAGCTTGTAGCTGAGCATCTCCGAGAGATAGTTTCTGGAAGCTGCAGATTCAGACGTGCTAATTGAATTGGCACTACCCACAGCTGCCGCACCAAGAGACCAGTGGCTAGGACTGCCGACCTGTAGACATCGATGGCGGTGGTGGCGAGGTGTGTGTCACGGTATTCGGGGTCTACATAGCCCAGTGCTATAGGCGACTGTTCTAAACATATGGGAAGACTCAGCTCACCCGTACACGTCGGTGGCGGTGGTGGCGAAGTGAGTGTCATGGTATTCGGGGTCCACATAGCCCGGCGTGCCCATCACCCTGGTGGGGTTCAATTTGCTCGCCTCCATGATCCTCATGAACCCAAAATCCGCCACCTTCGCCTGAAATGTTGCAGATGTAGCAGGAGGAATAACGAGAGGTCAAAGGGAGGGAAAATGGTGTGAGGTTGCGTGGCGCGGGAGAGGGAGGAAGAGCTGGGTCACTTGGGTCGCCTCCATCACGAAAACAAACAAAATCCGCCACCTTTGCCTGTGAGGGTGGGTGGTGTGGGAAGCGAGAGGAGGAGAGGAAGTGGTGGAAAGCGGCACTCAAAGTGACAATAGAATCATGTTGGTTACACAGTACAGATACACCGACACAACATTTTCCCAATAAGAATAGAGAATGTATGTTACAGGTGTTATGAACAAGTTTGAGCGAATTATCGGCTACATATGTACACACATATGCAATCTTCTATCAATCAATTGTCTGCATGTACTGAGCTGTTTAGACCTTGGCCCGTAACTGCTAGAGTTAGCCCCCAATCTTAAGTTTTCTTCTTGTAATTTTTATATTACAGTTTAGCGTAGTCTGTAGTTTGTGTGGGCTGGATGGTGTACACCCACATCCCAACCTCACCCAAATGTGATCAACCGAAATCTCCTGCCCACCAATTGGAGATTCCAGTCGATCTCATTGGGATTGCCCCCAATTCCCTCCCCGTCCACCCCTTTCTCATTTCCGATGTACTTAAGAGGCTTAAGCTCATTACCTAATGTATCAACTCAAGGTCAAGTTCTTACACACACCCCCACCAATCCGATTCTCACCCGCATGTCGGCATCCAGCAGCACGTTGGCCGGCTTGATATCGCGGTGCACAATCCGACGGCTGTGGAGGAAGCTCAGCCCATCCGCCACGTCCACCAGCACCGCCAGCCTCTGCCGCAGTGACATGGGCTTGGCTCCTGGGAGGTGGGGTGGAGGGATGGGGAATCAAAGAGGGCGTGAGGACGTAGGAGTTTGTGGGGTGAGATGGGCTTCGCCCCTGGGGGATGGGGGATGGGGAATAGGAGCAGAGAGGATTGGGACGGGAGTATGGATGTGTGATGGCACGCCCACCAGCACTGCCATCCTCACACGCAGCGACCTGGGATTCGCCCCTGGGAGATGCATCAGAATATGGGGAGATGAGGAGGCCGAGAGTTTGAGATGGGCTTGGCCCCTGGGAGGTGCGGGAATGAGGAGATAAGAGAGCATGCAGAAGTAGGGGCTCGTGAGGTGAGAGGGGCTTGGCTCCTGGGAGGTGCAAGGATGGGGGAACAGAGGGATGAGGGAATGAGGGATTAGGGTGAGAGCATAGCTCACCTGTCTTGGCCCTAACATCACCTGTCTTGGCCCTAACATCACCTGTCTTGGCCCTGACATCACCTGTCTTGGCCCTGACATCACCTGTCTTGGCCATAACATCACCTGTCTTGGCCCTAACATCACCTTCTTGGCCCTAACATCACCTGTCTTGGCCCTAACATCACCTGTCTTGGCCCTGACATCACCTGTCTTGGCCATAACATCACCTGTCTTGGCCCTGACATCACCTGTCTTGGCCCTAACATCACTTGTCTTGGCCCTAACATCACCTGTCTTGGCCCTAACATCACCTGTCTTGGCCCTAACATCACCTGTCTTGGCCCTAACATCACCTGTCTTGGCCCTAACATCACCTGTCTTGGCCCTAACATCACCTGGCTTGGCCCTAACATCGCCTGGGTTTGCCGGAACCTCACTTGTATTGGTCCTGTGTGAGAGGTCCCCGTTGGGCATGAACTGAGACACAATGACCTGCTCCATCTGCCTGCATGCAATGCTCCCATATGCTTTAATTTGAAGTTTGTTCACCCCAGCCTCACCTGCCGTGGTCCAGTGCGAGAGGTCCCCATTGGGCATGAACTGCGACACGATGATCTGCTCCATCTGCCGGCTGGTCTCGTTATAGTCGATGCAGTACCCCAACAGTGGCACCAGTGCTGGGTGCTGCAGCCGCGCCATCGCTTTCACCTGGAGGTGGGGGTACACGGGGGGATGGGAGGGAGATTAGGAAGGTGAAGTGGAAAGGGGGAGGCGTGAATGGGAGCAGGAATTTTAGTCGATGCAGTACCCCAGCAACGGCACAAATCCTGGATGCTGCAGCTGCGCCATCGCTTGTACCTGGGATTTCGGGATGGGGGAAAACATGAGGCGTGACTTGAGGAAGTGGTTTAGTCGACACACCCCAGCAGAGGCACCAGCCTCGGGTGCTGCAGCCGTACCATGGCTTTCACCTAGGGGGAGGAGGGATGGGGGAAAGCAGGAAGCGTACAAGGGAGGGCGATCAGGAAGCGGAATCAGAAAGGAGGTGTGCATGGGAGGAAGAGTTGTAGTCAATGCTGGACCCCAGAAGTGGCACCAGCGCTGGGTGCTGAGCTGCGCCGTTGCTCTCCCCTCCCCGTACCTCCTTCTTGAAGGGTTCAGCGTTTAGGTGGTGCGCTTGACAGCCCACAGCACCCCGGGGTGTGGGGTCCCCCCCCCCCCTTGTACATGTCGCTGCAGCCACATATTCCCTTACCCCTCACCCCCCCCCTGCCCATACAACCTCTCCCACTCCTCCAACCTCCCTCAACTCCTCTCTTCGTACCTCCTTCTTGAAGTCGTTGGAAAGCATGGTGGCGCGCTTCACGGCCCACACCACTTCCGGATCTCTCGGGTCCACGCCCTTGTATACGTCGCTGCAGCCCCCCGAGCCGATCAGGTTGACCTCCGAGAAAAAGTTGGTTGCCTGCTTGATGTCCGCCAGGGAGTAATGCTTGCATGCTGTGGGGGATGAGGGAGAGGGAAGGGTAGGAGTAGCAGGAATGGGAGAAAAGAGGCTGGTGGGGCTGATATTTTAGACAAAGTTGGTGGCCTGCTGGATTTCTACCAGTGAGTACTGCTTGCATGCTGAAGACATAATTGGAAGAGAGGGTCGGGAATGGGGTAAAATCTGAAATCATCAGGTTAGGTTGAATTTGGAGAAAGGGTGCTGGCTTGCTGAATCTTGTGTCACAGGAGTACATGGAAGAAAAAAGGAAAATCAAAGACTAAAGGAGGAGGAAAGCAGAGAGAGCTGAGGGAGAAAGCAGAGACAAGTGAGGGAAGAAGGAGACCTGAAGGGTGTGATCTGATTGATCTCCAATGGCCATGCGTTTGAAACGTATGTGCATAGCTACTGACGTGCGCTTCTCACTGGATCAAGGGGGGTGGAGAGGATGTGGAAGACTGCAGCCAAACTAGCATGGAGAGCAAGCGTCAAATGAAAGAAGCGAGAGAAGATGTGTAAGAAGCACTCGGCATCATTTATATTTAGCACGGGAGTTACCGGGTTCAGATGGGCGGAGGAGGAACCAGAGGAGGAGGGCGACAGCAATAAGGGCGATGAATGCCGCCACCACTATCCCTGCTATGGCTCCCGGGGAGAGGGCACTGCTAGAAGCAGGGGGGGAGCTGTGGCAGGGAGAGGAGGAAAATACTCGAGATTGAGAGACAAGGAGGAGGATGATAACAAGGAGAGCATGGAATGAACGTGCAGCTGTAGCTGGAACGTCTTTGCTTAGCTTACCGCTTAGAACACTCACTACACCTCCCACTCCTCTGATCATTGCCTTCTACTATTTGAAATTTTCGCGAAGTAATATGACAAGAAGGGATGAGAAAAGGGTATGAGAAGATGGATAAATCACTTCTTTGTTGTAATTGATCAACGAGGAGAATTCATACGGAAAAGGAAGGGCGAAAAGGGAAGCAAAATCAAGAGCAAGGTTCAGGAAGAATGGTGAGGGGAAAGACAGTTCAGGAAGGTTTAGGACACCACTCAGAAGATTTTGAAACGCTTAAATGTGTAGTGTGAAAGAATATGTACACTGGGAGCAGTGGCGAAGGAGGGAGAGAAATGATCTGAAGAGCTAAGATGTGAAGAAATAACGGGAACGCTGGGAGAACAGCTAGAGGGACAGAGAGATAGAGTGGCAACAGGAGACACACCAGACGCAGAGGAGGAGCAGCCGAGGCAGTAACTCTGGCACATGTGGCAGGTGGTGTTGGGCGCAGACGAACTGGCAGACCCAGGGGAGCTGGAGTTTTTGACAGCTGGCGACGTGGGATTGGCCGGGTTCTCAGGAGGGGGCAATGGGCCAGCGGCAGGGCAGGTGGCATTGTCATTGCAGAAAACGCCAGGGGTGCCGTACCTGGTGGTGGGAGGAGGAGAGAAGGGAGGGGGAGAGGGGTGTTTGGGTGGTGAGGGCGAGGAAGGAGACGTGCGAGGAAGTCAACAGCAGTGATGGAAGAAGATGTTTGGTGGAGGAAGAAGTTTGAGATGGGTGCCAGTATCGTTACACAAGGCGATAGAGTTGTCTCATTTGAAGCTTGTAGCGGCGACTGAGGAATGCAAGTCATCACTCACACACACAGAGGGTTCACAATTGAAATACAAAATTAGTCCACGGGAAACAGCTGTAGCATCTAACCATCCATGCACAAACGTCCACAAACACTAAGTTTTTCTGGCAAGTTTTTTCTCACAGTGTCTGCAGCTTCTCGAGGCTGTTGACGCCCCATGGCACTGACCCAGATACCCCCGTGTAGCTCAGATCCCTGCAATGTGGATCAGAGAAGCGCATCATGGTAGGAACATTTAGATGGGGAACATGGGTGCTATGCTGGTGTAATGCATATAAGACGACACAGTGCAAAGAAAAAAACGGTGCAGAAGTTTTCAGATGATTGGCATGCACAAACATGCATACGTGAATGAACAAATAAGGAACAAACATCAGGCATGCACAAGCACGGCTATATATTCCACTCCACATCGGTTGTGGAAAATGTAGGCTCCGCATATCTGTGCAAGCTACTTTCTTCTCCTGGCTGGTGGGTTTCGTTTCTAGGCACTTCAAAGAACATTACGTGGGTTCGGTTTGCGCATGCATTTCACCTGCGGAGGCGAGGATGTGATGCGAACACACTGTGGAAATGAAAAAGCAGGTGTGAGGCGAGGCTATGGGAGTGCGCAGAGTAGGAACTAACAGAAACAGACGATCTGACGTGTGACTGTGGGAGTCGACTAGTTGGATGCTTACAGGAAAATCAGGTTGGAGAGTGCATTGAAAGAATCGGGGATGGGCCCCGTGAGGCTTGAGCGGCTCAGATTCCTGCACAGGTGGTGTGAGGCGTGGAGGATAAATAAAGATGAGGGAAGAGGGGCCAGATGTACATGGTCTGTGAGAGAAATATGGTGAGTATGGTGAGCATGGTGCGTATGGTGAGCATGATGATCATGGGGAGCATGGTGAGTATGGGGAGCATGGTGAGTACGGGGAGCATGGTGAGTACGGGGAGCATGGTGAGTACGGGGAGCATGGTGAGTACGGGGAGCATGGTGAGCATGTGAGCATGGTAAGCATGAGGAGCATGGTGAGCATGGGGAGCATGGTGAGCATTGTGAGCAGATCAGCAGATCAGCATGTGCATGAATAGAAAGCCTTTGCGTAAACACAAGGGACATGTCCAAAAGGAGCACCACTATCCCAAAGGGCCTTATCCAAACCAGCATTCGTGCAATGAGAGCAGTCTGTATGATACGGATGATGCCGCATTCACACCACCATAACGCTACATTTAAAACAACGCGATGCTAAATCCAAACCAACGTGATGCTAAATCCAAACCAATGAGATGCTACATCCGAACCACCATGATGCTATGTCCGAACCACAATAACGCTACAAACCACCAAGATGCAAACAAGCAGCTGATTTGTTTGAGAGAAACAAGGATGATCCCATGTGGGCGTACAGCGAGGTGAGGGCTGTGAGCCAGCCAATGCTGGTAGTAATGGAGTCTGAAATGCCATTGCGACTCATGTCCCTGCGAGGAAATATTGGCATGAATAGATGCGATTGGAAGGTCACGCTATGAAGACGATAGCCATGCAGGTCAACAGAAGACGTGTGAAGCATCTAGTTTAGCATATTATCGAAGAACTTGCTTCTTCAACCAAACATCCACACGTGAATGAGCATCAATTGCTCACGATCAGGAAGACGAAACATGAACATGAATTGTTCACTCCTGCAAGTCACATTGCACATGGAGCTGACATGCATACGAGCGTGCATTGCTCACATGTGCATCACTCACCATGTGCATCACTCACCTGTGCATCACTCACATGTGCATCACTCACCATGTGCATCACACACCATGTGCATCACTCACATGTGCATGACTCACATGTGCATCACTCTCACATGTGCATCACTCACATGTGCATCACTCACATGTGCATCACTCACCATGTGCATCACTCACATGTGCATCACTCACCATGTGCATCACTCACATGTGCATCACTCACATGTGCATCACTCACATGTGCATCACTCACATGTGCATCACTCACATGTGCATCACTCACCATGTGCATCAATCTCACATGTGCACGAGCATGGTAAGACTTCCCAAGGCAGATGGGATGGACCCAGACAGCTGGTTGCTGCTAATGTCACTGTGGAGGGGAGAGGGAAGAGAGAAAGCGTGAGAAGGTGCTGATGAGTGAGATTCGAGGTAAAGAGGAGCCTGCCAGCAGCCTGTAACTCTCTTTCGTCGGAGGAAGAGTGAGGCCTGAATATGTTGATTAAGAATTGTTTAGTCAATGTACCCAGCGTGTCATTTAAGTTCTTGCTACACACTCTTTGATTATCCTTCTGATAATCATGCATTTTGACTTTTTGTCTAGCCACTCTTCCAGGAGTGGGGATCCTTGGTCAATCACGCCTGTGTATACTTTCGTTCTCTCACTGTGAAACAGGCTACAAGATTATGCACCTTGAGATTCCTCTTTTACCATAGCAATGCTCTAATATAACGTGGTTTAGAATCCACAGACGGAATATACTAGATATCACAAGACATGGCCCTACTTGAATTTCTTGTGACTCTTACAGGCACGTCAATTTGGCCAGAGCTCCCAGGGATGCAGATACCGTGTCAGAGAGCGCGTTGGTGCTGAGATTTCTGTGCCAGCAGCAGAGAGAGTGAAGGTGAATCATGAAGAAAGCATGGGCGTAAAGTGAGCAGCATATAGTGAGAATATTTGCAGCAGTGATGGTACGTCATTGAGCGACTGATACGAAGCACAAGTGGAAGTGGAATGGTGGGACGGTGGTTTTTGGCACACACAGTGAGAACAAATCTCGAGAATTTGCAGCACAAAACGCAGTTAACACTCTATTTACATGCAGCACACTGTTAGGTTTATTAAACGTTCACTTACAGCCTCTGTAAATATGTGAGCACACTCAGGAAGTCCGGAATGCTACCACTGAGAGAGCTGCTACTCAGATCCCTGCCATTTACAGGATGGCACTTGGATATTCACAAGGAGATCGAGTCGAGGCTCGCGGAAATACGGAGATATCACAGCTGAAGCCACTCGACATGCACAGTATTCAAAAGCCACGTGTCACAACAGGACTCAGAAGTTACGTGTGCATACAGGGACCAGCGTCCACGAGATGCCACATGGAGGTTCCCATGAATGCAGGAAACGAACGGTCTCACAGAGAGTTAAGGAGCTTGAGGTCTTGGAGAAAGAGAGGAATGACGCCTGAGAACTGGTTACCACTCGTGTTGCTGCTTGGGGGACGGATAACAGAAGGCGTAAAGGGTGTGCGAGGACGTTAGAGGAGGTGCAGGGTTGGGGTGCATAAGGGTCCTAAAGATGAGCTCGAACATATTTTGGACTCATGCAGGTGAACGCATCTAGTGCATGAAGACAGGACTGCAGTGGCACGCACAGGGATGCAAGGGCCACGAGACTGCCCAGTTCTGAAGGAAACGGGCCAGAAAGTTTGTTGCTGCTGACGTTCCTGCAGAGCGAGGTGGAGGGCGAGGGCAAGGGCGAGGGGAAGGGGGATCTTGTGCTAGCGACAGTGGCACTGTATGTCTGTCAATACAACTGTGTGCGCAGTCTATTGTATACATGCATGTGTGAGGCTCTGGAGCAGGGTGTGCTCGTGCGGGCTTCTTGAAGTGGGTCACGTCACACTTTGTCTTACCTTGCTTTGCCACTCTCCACCTTCAGACGTGGCACATCCTCAGATTTGAGACGGCATGCTGCGAAACGATTTGCAATGCCAAAATGCAGGTTCTCGGGACACCAGACTAAGTGCTGGAGCGGGAGTGAGAGTGTTTGGGACAGCTTGCTCTTACAATGATGCAAGGCTGCTGAGATTTGCAGTGTTCTGAGGAAAGCTTGTGAAGCTGTTGCTGCTGACATCCTTGTTGTTTGCCACCAGAACACATCAATGGGATGAGATCGCCCATTATAACAGACATAAAGAAGGAAGAAAGCTGAAATCGCTAGACATCAGTGTGATACGCAACACAAACCGCAACTGGTGCCGTGCATTCTCGCCGTTATTGTTGATGATGTTTTTCTCATTATATAAGCTATCGTGTCAGACCAGTCGAAATCGTATCAGAAATCCACCAAGCAAACGTGATAAATAGGCAATAAAGTAGAGCATTGCAGGAAATCAGTCTCTGTAACGAAATTTCTGAGAGACGTACACAGTCGATACGTTGTACGGGAGATTGGGCAGCGACCCCTCAAAGTAGTTGTTCTGCAAGTACCTGTGATGTGGTCGTTCCCAACCATCCATGCACGCAGTTGTTGAGCCACGCCATTTTAAACACAGACGCACACAATATGCCATGACATGGCATAGGACGCCTCTCACATGCTGTTCCGTATGATGTCAGAGTATGCTAATTGATAACTGGCACGTTACAGGGATGGAGCAGCTGCAGAGGCAGCAGCAAGGTATGGTGACATTCACTGAAGGCCCCACGTGTGCTCTCGACCCAGAGGCCTCTCAAGAGAAACAAAGAGCACAAGGTGCGTGTAGGGAGAAGCACGGGGACTGACAGAATGCTGAGGGAGGTGAGGGCGCTGATGGTGGTGGGAAGGGAGCCAGAGAGCGAGTTGTTGCTCAGATCCCTGCAGGGGCCATGCCATGGGGCAAAGCAGTTGAGATCGGTGCTTCTGGACAAGCCCCCTGTTGAAATGTAGAACAAACACTTCAAACCTGTCAAGTTGAGATTGCATACGTCACCTAGGGGCACTCTTTGGGGCGGTGTTCTGGGTGATTAGAGTACGGAAAGACCAGAAAACTTGAAATGGCAAGCCTGGTCACTTGTGTTTGCTTCAGCTGCGAGAGCACTCACAGGGCGGTAAGCGTGGTAAGCCCAGAGAAGCTTTCTGGAAAGGATCCTTTCAGGTCGTTGCTGCCAAGTTCACTGCAGATGGGATGATTGGGCACAGCAGGAGGGGCGCAAGTGCGAATCCAGGGGGTACAAGTATGAGAAGAGAAAGGATGAGGAGAAAAATATGAAGCACAGGGAAGGAAATGAAGGCATAACAGGTGCGTACACAGGCGTTTGGGTGCTCACAGGTGCTTGAATTCTCACAGGTGCTTGAGTGCAGGGCAATGACCCAGATTAGCAGGGATGTCGTCAGAAAGGCTGTTGTTTTTAAGCTTGTTGCAAGATGCACACCACACACCCATACAATGCCTGATTCAAAATTAGCAGCAGTACAAGAAGTTCCCCCGCAAACAGG